CCCCTACACGTGCGCACGTGCATGAATTGTTCCCCAACCGTGACACATGGACTATACTGACTTGTGCAAGGCACCCCACTAACCGGTCTCTAGAGGTGTGCCGAATTTGAGTGCAATCGGTCCAGCCGTTCTTGAGATCTGAAAGCGTCACCCTGCACGTGCGCACGTGCACGATGGGTCCTAACTGATTTGCGCACGGCACCCTACTAACCGGTCTCTAGTGGTGTACCGAATTTGAGCTCAATCGGCTCGGCCGTTCTCGAGATCTGGAAGCGTCACCCTGCACGCGCGCACGTGCAGTTGCACCCCAATCGTAACACATGGAAACGCATGGCCCGGTGTGTGCCTACAACCTTGTGTAGTTTCAGCAGAATTTCCTCAGGAATTACCGTGGTATTGTCATTACAACAAAAGTGACACCTCTCCGTTTTACACGTGTCACGTGCAGTAGGGGTCACCCGCATGCATCGTCCATAGTAAAATACTTCTAAGAAGGTTATACGCTACCCCATACAAAAAACCGCAAGTGTATCGGTCCAGTGGCTGCGGAGATATAAGTCGTACAAAAACGTCCCCACGGCGGCCGGCCGCTAATATTTAGCATTAAATTCGTGTCGCATCCTTCTATGGGAGGTATCCCTGTCACCTGTTCGTATACTGCCTGAGCCAAGGCCGTATATAGGTCTGAGCTCAAATCTCGGTAATGTCGTGCTTTTTTACTAAATTTCTCTAAAACGGCACGAAGCGCAATAACGTTCTATATATCATTGGTAAGAGCATCAAAAGTTGTATAACCTATCAACTTTTCACTTCAATATATCTCTAACCTAAAAAGTTATTAAGCGACAAAGACGCTGCCATTGGCTTTCCATGTTAAAATTTTCCATTTTTAAACGAGCTTAAAAAGAACAAACGAATTCTGACAGCTTAACGAAGCATAACAACATGTTCTATGGTCTTTTCTCAACAAGACCTGAAGGTTTAAACAAAATCGTATCATATAATTTTGTACAATGAGTGAATGTAAATGTCTCTGCAAAAACGCCCATTGACTTAACATGGGGAGCGAAAAAAGTTCAACTTTGACCTCGTGCAAAGACACGTTACGAAATTCTGACGTGTATACCGCGCACGCTGGCGTGTACCGGAACGTGTTTCCCATAAAATGCTGGGAAGAAAACCACCTCTTCCTTGGCTCGTTTTCCCGCCATTCACGATCGCGCAAAAAGTGTCCAAAACCCCGTAGATTTAACATGGGGAAAATGGAATCGCACGTGCCACGTGCCACGAGGTTTTAAGCGAGTAGCGACCGATGCCATCAGGTAGATCGCCTGCGGGAGCCCATACACTGAACTTTTTACGAAGATTGATCGATTCGTCTAGGCCCCAATCAAGTTGTACTGATTCGCGGCAAACTTTGCAAAACATAGCCCGGAGAACGACCGCTCCGGTTGTTTTTCAATAGAAAAACACAATTCTAACGAATAGTGTTTGTCTTTTCAAACAACCTGCGGTTACCAAACGAGAGGATGAGCCTTGCACGTGCAGACCGGAGTCGGTGTGCTACAAACTGACGTGCACGGCACCCTACTCGCTGATCTATAGCGGTGTGCCAAATTTGAGTGTAATCGGCTCGGCCATTTTCGAGATCTGGAAGCGTCACCCTGCACGTGCGCACGTGCAAGCTGTGTCCAATTGCATTGTGCATGGGACCCTATTCGCCGGTCTCTAGCGGTGTACCAAATTCGAGCTCAATCGGCCCAGCCGTTTTCAAGATCTTGAAACGACCCCTCCACGTGCGCACGTGCAGCTGCATCTCAACCGTGACACATGGAAATACATACTAACTGACTTGTGCACGGCACCCTACTGATCGATCTCTAGATGTTTGCCGAATTTGAGTGCAATCGGTCCAGCCGTTCTTGAGATCTGGAAGCGTCACCCTGCACGTGCGCACGTGCAAGATGGGTCCAAACTGACTTGCGCACGGCAGTCGGCACCCTACTAATCGGTCTCTAGCGGTGTACCAAATTTGAACTCAATCGGCCCGGCCGTTCTCGAGATCTGGAAGCGTCACCCTGCACGTGCGCACGTGCAGTTGCACCCCAATCGTGGCACATGGAAATACATACTAAATGACTGCAACCTACTGATCGGTATCAAGCGTTATGCCAAATTTGAACACAATCGGTCCAGCCGTTCTCGAGATCTGGAAGCGTCACCCTGCACGTGCGCACGTGCAGTTGCACCCCTACCAAGACACATGGAAATGCATCGCCTGGAAAGTGTCTACCTCCATGCCAAGTTTTAGCGCAATCGGCCCAGTAATTACCGCGAGCTATTGCGCTTATTACAAAACAGGCACCTCTTGGCTTTGCACGTGGAACGTGCGTTAGGGGTCACCCATATGCATCGAGAGTAGCACACTATGTGAAAGAAGGGAAAAAGCTACCCCACACAAAAAACCGCACGTGTATCAGCCCAGTGGTTGCCGAGATATAAGTCGTACAAAAACGTCGCCACGGCGGCCGGCCGCTATTTAGCAGTAAAATCGTGTCGCATCCTTCTATGGGAGGTATCCCCGTCACCTGCCACTACTTCGTATACTGTCTGAGCAAAGGCCATACGTTACGGTCCAAACTCCATAGTGAGGCGGACATACGAATTTACGAGAGTTTAGCGACGAAATGATTCACTTAATTGTTAAGTAATCGGTACCATTAGGTACGCCATAAATTTTATCTAGCATCTCACCGTAGATGCAGTAAAAAGTGCTTTACTTTTCAATGTATATAAAGACTTGCTCAGCTCAATCAGTTCACTCTGTATTGGCTCAAGCCGTATCATGCGAACGCAATACAAACTAGAGCACCGACAGCGCAGCGCTCCCCAACTCACTGCTCGCCCAGTCCACCCGGGCCGCCGCCACGACGGCCCCCCCGCAAGTAGGCATCCCGCACTGCACCGACAGCCGCGGGCGACCAGCTGACCGGCCAGCTGACCGGCCAGCAGCCGGCGGGCGGCAAGCCGCGGATGGCCGACCCGCCGGCGCGGCGAGGGAGGGGAGGGACGCAGCTGAAAGACCCGACTACATATATATCAAAGAAACATTATATGTAATCATCGATGACGCGACATATATCTGCTTTATTGGGTTTAGCGGTGTAGTCTGTGATGCCATCACAATGAAAATAGCCTAGTTTTGTAGAGCATCAAATTCTGATTCCATAACGACTCTCGCTAGTCCATTTTCAATTGTAAATAAGCCTTTTATTGCGATGCAAAGTCCCGAAATGGTGCCGACGGCGGCCGGTCCCCCGATGGTACACTCGGGGGCAGAATGATGTTCCACCACTCCCTACCCATCGGGCGATCCCATGGCTCAGCACTGGCTGCTGTCAGTGTTGCCTGCCCTCGGCACTGCTCAGCACTGCATGCCAGTGCCAGTGCTGCCAGTGCTGCCACTGGCAGCAGCCAGTGCTGAGCCATGGGAGCTCGATGGGTAGGGAGTCGTGGAACATCAATCTGCCCCCGAGTGTACCATACCATAGATCAGAGGGCTGTTCACGGGCCCTGTGTGCGGTCGGACCGCACACAGCCTCCAAGCTCCGCCCACTGCGTCCCTACGTCAGCCTTCCGTCACCGCACACAGCGATCGCTGTGGCCGTCGGGACTGGCCACAGCGGACCGTCCACCGCACGCAGCCGTGACGTCAGAACCGCCTACCCATCCCCTACCCCCACGCCTGCTGGACGCACCGCACACAGCGCACGCAGCAGTGTGCGGTGCCCGTGAACACCCCTCTGGTAAACAGGTTAGTTCACATTCCCGCCGCTATGCGGGCGGCGGCGGCGCCACCTGTCCTCGTGTCCGCCTGACACCGTAACGATATAGGTCTGAGCTCAAATCTCGGTAATGTCGTGCTTTTTTACTATATTTCTCAAAAACGGCACCACGTGCAATAAAGTTGTATATATCATTGGAAAGAGCATCAAAAGTTGTATAACCTATCAACTTTTCACTTAAATATATCTCAACTGTAAAAAGTTATTAAGCAGCAAAGACGCTCCCATTCACTTTCCATGTTAAAATTTTTCATTTTTAAACGAGCCTAAAAAGAACAAACGAATTTGCACAGCTTAAAGAAGCATAACAATATGTTCTATGGTCTTTTCTCAACAAGTCCTGAAAGTTTAAACAAAATCGTATCATATAATTTTGTACAATGAGCGAATGAAAAAGTCTCTGCAAAAACGCCCATTGACTTAACATGGGGAGCGAAAAAAGTTCAACTTTGACCTCGTGCAAAGACACGTTACGAAGTTCTGAGGGGTATACGGCGCACACTAGCGTGTACCCAAACGTGTTTGCCATAAAATGCTGGGAAGAAAACCACCTCTTCCTTGGCTCGTTTTCCCGCCATTGGCGATCGCGCAAAAAGTGTCCAAAACCCCGTTGACTTAACATGGGGAAAATGGAATCGCACGTGCCACGTGCCACGAGGTTTTAAGCGAGTAGCGACCGGTGCCATCAGGTAGATCGCCCCCAGGAGCCCATATTCTGAACTTTTTACGGAAATCGCAATGCACGTTTAGGCCCCGGTCAAGTTGCCCCAATTCGCGGCCAGACTTGCAAAACATAGCCCGGAGACGGACCGCTCCGGTTGTTTTTCAATAGAAAAACACAATTCTAACGAATAGTGTTTGTCTTTTCAAACAACCTGCGGTTATTCACTTAACATGGGGAAAATGGAATCGCACGTGCCACGTGCCACGAGGTTTTAAGCGAGTAGCGACCGGTGCCATAAGGTAGATCGCCTCCAGGAGCCCATACCCTGAACTTTTTACGAAGATTGTACATTTCGTCTAGGCCCCACCCAAGTTGCCCCAATTCGCGGCCAGACTTGCAAAACATAGCCCGGAGAACGACCGCTCCGGTTGTTTTTCAATAGAAAAACACAATTCTAACGAATAGTGTTTGTCTTTTCAAACAACCTGCGGTTACTACCTCGGCCTCCACCACCTCAGACAACGGTGCCACGGCACTCCACATCATCACGGAGCACGACTTCCAGCCTGGGCTGTCGTCTGGTGGGCAACATCGTCACCTACATCGCAGGGTTCGTGGTGAAGAAGGCGCTCGACTCTGTCAGCTGTAGCACCTGTCAGGAGGCCCTGGTGAGCGACATCCAGCCGGACGACATAGAAAAACACAATTCTAACGAATAGTGTTTGTCTTTTCAAACAACCTGCGGTTATTCACTTAACATGGGGAAAATGGAATCGCACGTGCCACGTGCCACGAGGTTTTAAGCGAGTAGCGACCGGTGCCATAAGGTAGATCGCCTCCAGGAGCCCATACCCTGAACTTTTTACGAAGATTGTACATTTCGTCTAGGCCCCACCCAAGTTGCCCCAATTCGCGGCCAGACTTGCAAAACATAGCCCGGAGAACGACCGCTCCGGTTGTTTTTCAATAGAAAAACACAATTCTAACGAATAGTGTTTGTCTTTTCAAACAACCTGCGGTTACTACCTCGGCCTCCACCACCTCAGACAACGGTGCCACGGCACTCCACATCATCACGGAGCACGACTTCCAGCCTGGGCTGTCGTCTGGTGGGCAACATCGTCACCTACATCGCAGGGTTCGTGGTGAAGAAGGCGCTCGACTCTGTCAGCTGTAGCACCTGTCAGGAGGCCCTGGTGAGCGACATCCAGCCGGACGACATGACACAGCTTTACCACCTCTTCATCATCTCTGCCAGATGAGCTAAGGTGGGGACGGGTTACATGCCTGGGATCTGACTGAGACCCGCTCATACCCTGCCGAAGTGTTGGTGATTTCAGCGGTCAGCTGTCTCTAGCCGTATTCACTTAACATGGGGAAAATGGAATCGCACGTGCCACGTGCCACGAGGTTTTAAGCGAGTAGCGACCGGTGCCATAAGGTAGATCGCCTCCAGGAGCCCATACCCTGAACTTTTTACGAAGATTGTACATTTCGTCTAGGCCCCACCCAAGTTGCCCCAATTCGCGGCCAGACTTGCAAAACATAGCCCGGAGAACGACCGCTCCGGTTGTTTTTCAATAGAAAAACACAATTCTAACGAATAGTGTTTGTCTTTTCAAACAACCTGCGGTTACTACCTCGGCCTCCACCACCTCAGACAACGGTGCCACGGCACTCCACATCATCACGGAGCACGACTTCCAGCCTGGGCTGTCGTCTGGTGGGCAACATCGTCACCTACATCGCAGGGTTCGTGGTGAAGAAGGCGCTCGACTCTGTCAGCTGTAGCACCTGTCAGGAGGCCCTGGTGAGCGACATCCAGCCGGACGACATGACACAGCTTTACCACCTCTTCATCATCTCTGCCAGATGAGCTAAGGTGGGGACGGGTTACATGCCTGGGATCTGACTGAGACCCGCTCATACCCTGCCGAAGTGTTGGTGATTTCAGCGGTCAGCTGTCTCTAGCCGGTGTCAGTGAGTCGCGGCCAGCTGCCGCTGGAGTGGGTATCTACCGTCGATAGCTGCTGTGTGGCGGATAGCGTGGATTTGGATGGACACTTCATATTAATGAACAGATCAATGTCTGGCCGATAAAAGACGTATTTTGTCGATGATTGCTTAGTGACTGAGTGGGTCCACTGGCGACCAATGCAGTGGGCGCTGGGTTAACGCCTCGCCTCTTGTGACCGTGTCGATATGTAGCACTGTTAATTGCCGATTCGTTGCCGGCCGTCTCTGCTCCGTGGCTGGCTGATCCGGCACAAACTGGTGTTCGTGGCTGAAGGCGCGGCTACAGTTACACTAGCTCGCCACGTGCCTGTGCGACTATCGTCGGTGCTGTCTGCAAGGGCGATGTCGGTGCCTGTAGGGGGCGCGGATTGATTCAAAGTGAGGAATGGGTCATCGGAGCTCGGGTCAGGTCATGTTCGGCTTAAATAAGCGGATTTTGCGATTTGCCGCATCCGGGTGAATTTCCTTGCCTTCTAGTGCATGTTTATGCATTTTACATGCGTTTTTTTTAGTGTTGATGTCTAGATAACGTGCATTTGCCTCGAGGTCAAGGCTGCGCTTCATATGGGCAGTTTTCGGAGCATCTTGCTCATTTTATTCGTAATCCTTAATTATGTTTGCGGATTTGTGCCCGCAAATCATTTTTTAAAGTAAGATTGACACGGGATTCGAGATCGGCGCCCATAAATACACTTCACATGACCCGCCATGTGTCAAGGCCATCCGAGGTCATCTAAGGTCGCTGACCTTGTATGACCTTATGTGACCCGGTTCGCTAGATTTCGAGATGAGGTTGATTGGGAATGATGTAACCCATTTCGCCGACAGTTCACGCGTTTTGGTCGATTTTATAGCGAAAGATCTCAAACTCCAGTGACTTTACTGGTTCGATTTCCAGTGTTTGACCTGACCTCTGAGTTCACCCGTTGACCTAGTACCCTGAAATTTGGTATCACTGGTTTACTCACATCGCGGACAGCATACCTATTTTTTTCCGTTCTTGCTCCGTCGAGGGGCGAACGGCTGGAGTTCACTCCGTTCACCCTGGCTTCCCCTACTCGTAAGACGCTGACAAACTACGAACGGGTGAGGGCTAAAATTGCACTTATTGTCGATCATTGTCCATTGCATACTGCATACATAGATATAAAGTATGGTAGCCATAATGGGAAACGAATTTAATCTCAAATTAGCATGCCAATTGCATCTACCTTCGGTGCCGCATATCCTTTATCAGCGTCCTCAGGGCTATATGTCTAGGGCTGATGTAATTACATTACTATAAATACACATGTTTCTGCCCTTGTTTCACAATCTACTCATTCCAAAGAATGCCATAGGTAAAAAAGATTAACACTTTTCGGTCGAAAAATACCACAAAATCTGTCCCAAACACCCCCCTCCTCCCATAGTGTTTACACAGCGCCGCAGATTCTCGCCCTCACCAACATGGCGGCCGCTGCTACGTATTCGCGAGTCGCTCCCGACATGGGGGTGCCCTATCTAGTCTTTATATCTATGACAACCACAGTATAAAAATTCTTCAAATTTTTTTTTTCGCGATATCCTAATCATGCTCAAAATGGTAAAAAGTGTGAATTTCAATATAAGACAAACGGTCAGTCCATACAACATATTATTACATCTGAGCCACGTAATAAAATATTATTGTTACAATAGCGGTGATAATCGTTGGATAACGCCGAATCCCAACAATCAGTAATGCATTCTAAACTCGATGATCTACCTAACAATGCAAGCATTGAACGAGTTTGGAATAAATAATTCAGACAGGCTTTTCGACAAAATACCTACACGGTTGGAATTCAGCTAGGCCGTCCGATTTGGTTGTCTGTTGATTTGTGACGACTGTTTACAACTTCATTTCTTCGGACAAGAATGGTATATGATAGCTTCCGACCAAAAATTGGCATCAAAGTGTTCCTTTACACATAATGTCGATGTTACATATGTCACTGATAAAATCGCTATTACATCGTTTATGTATAGACTAGAGGTACAGGTTTACGCGATAACTGTATGTTTTGATATATATGATTAACGGATGCATTAGTTTGGGTGTAGAAACTTGCATTTTTATTGGTATGATTTTTGTAGAAGTGGGTAACTGCTTTTAATTGAACTGTAAGGTATGATGGTGATGCATGCGAGTTCTTCGAGCCCTTTGTAAGTTGAGATGTTACTGAACGCAACCCTACCCTACCCTACCCTACCCTACCCCTACACTACCCTACCCTACCCTACCTACCCTACCATACCCTACCCTACCCTACCCCTACACTACCCTACCCCACCCTACCTTACCACTATCCCTACCCTAGCCTACCTACCCTACCCTACCCTACCCTACCCTACCTACCCTACCCTACCCTACCTTACCCTACCCTACTCCTACCCTACCCTACCCCACCCTATCTTACCCTACCCTTACCCTACCCTACCCTACCCTACTCCTACCCTACCCTACCCTACCCTACCATTGGATGGATACTACCCTACCATACCCTACCCTACCCTACCATACCCTACCCTACCCTACCTTTACATTACCCTATACACTGAGAAAAAAATTGACTCTATATGGATCAAAACTCTTGAAAATGCTCCCCTGAAAACTCCTGAAAACCATCGATAACACCCTTTCCAGCAGAGTTATTGAGTGTGTTCTAGGGTAACTTTGAGCCTTCCTCATTTTGCGAAAGAGTTTTCAAGAGTTCTCAATGGATGGCGAAATGACTCCATGTGTGACACCCCATAACTCTGTGACGCAACTCTCCATTACTCCCGAAAAACCTTTCCCGAACGTTCCGACAGGAGCAAAAGGGGAGTTACGAAGGGGTTTTAGCATACGTCGCGAGGCTGCCGTGGCCGCCATCTTTTGCGCGTAGTATACAGCACGTTGTGCCGGGCGGCGGGCGAGGTGTTAGTGAAGAGCGTGTTGACTTTGACGGACCTGACCTTTACAGTGACGGATAATTGGACCTTACTTTTGATTTAAAGGTAAGCTTAGCTGTATTTCTCATCATGCTTTTATAGTGCAAAGTGTTATAATACTGTGATGAGAACATATGGTAACCCCATGTTCTTGATGGGCTGGAATGGTCTGTGTAAGGGTAATCGATTTGTTTCGTTCCTGAGTGAGATAAAGATCGGAAACAGCATGCTCTGAGTTTCTACATATTGGCAAATATCATACACTTTTTCCCTCGAATAAATTGGAAAGTTAGGGTTATACAAGCTTCACACGTCATGGATCCTATTGTTATTGCCCAATTGTTTTAATACCCATGTCAATGACAAATATCAAATTTGAAGGGCTTTCAAAGCAGAGTCAGAAAATTAAACTATCTTGGCGTAAAAGCCTTGATTTTCCTAGCTCCTATATATAAAAAATCAGTTACTGTTGTGGCGAGAACTAATTTAGTGGCGCTGACCGCGCAGCCGATTGGCGCGGACGCGCAATTATCGTTTGAGTTTTACGCCTTTGTTGATAGTGTTGGTCGTTGCGGTGATTATGATTTTATATTACGATCGACACTTAGTTAGTAATATGTTTGGTTCGAAATGGCTTTGTTCAGTTTCGATCCTTTATTTCGCATAACCTGTTCACCCCCTCTCTTTATGATTGCCAACTGTTTTGGGTCGTAAGGACGAAGAGGTGTCGAGTCACCTCTAGAGCTCTTCCGTTCTTGACCTTGGCCGAGATAGTGCCATGTGTTTTTCTGTTGTGTGTGTGGGGGAATAAACCGCAAGTGAGGCGGACGCAGGTTTGTCCAAACCTCCCCCACCCCGAGGGCACAACAAGTGGCGACGAGGCGTAAGTTTTTACGCGGCCGTGATAACTGTCGGCCATGGATTTTTCGGTGGCCCCTGCGCCGTTTTTGCCGGCGGCCGGCGCCGAGCCCGGTACGGCCTGGCCGCGGTGGATAAGGATGTTCGATAACTTCCTGGTGGCCGTGGGCGGCGGCTCATTTTCAGCTGCGCGCAAGGAGGCCATCCTTCTCACGTGCCTGGGGGCGGAGGGGCAGCGAATTTTCGAGTCCCTCCCAGCTGCTGTCAAGCAGGAAGGCGAGGACCAGTACGCCTTCACCAGGCGGCGCCTGGAGGCCCAGTTCGCTCCTCGCCAGAACGTGTGTGTGGAGCGTTACCGTTTCAGGAGCCGGGTGCAGCAAACTGAGGAAACAGTCCAGCAGTGGGTGTCGATACTGCGCCAGCTGGCCAGCTCCTGTGAATATGGTGACAGAACCGACGAGTTCATAAGGGACCAGGTCATCGAGCGTACTAACTCTTCCAAGTTGCGACAGCGACTTCTTATGGAGGGCTCTGACCTGACTTTGGAGCGCACCCTCACCATCAGTGACACGCTTGAGTCGGCTGAACGTGAGGCTCGGGTGATGGAGACACCAGCTGCTCCAGTCCCTGTTCAGGCTGTCCAGCAGCAGCAGCAGCAGCGTCGGCGGCCTCAGCGTGGTGGGGCCAGGACCCGTGCTGCTGGTCGGGTCTCCACTCATCAGCAACAGCCTCAGCAGCAGAGGCCGGCAGGGAGTAGCAGTAGCCTGTGCTGGGGGTGCGGGCGTGCTGGACACAGGCGAGGGGACCAGTGTTGCCCTGCTGTCAATGTGAAGTGCTCCAAATGTGGGAAAGTGAATCACTTTGCCCAGCACTGTGTCCAGAAGCGAGTGGTGTCCAGTGTTCAAGTGCTGGCAATCGGGGCATCACCAATGACTCTGACAGCCCAGGTGGAGGGGAGGGAGGTCGTGTTCACGGTAGACTCTGGCTCCCCAGTGTCCCTCCTCCCCAGACACCTGGCACCTGGGGCCCTTGAGCCAGCAGCAGAGCGCCTGTGCTCATATGGGGGGAGTGTGTTAGATGTGTTAGGGGTAAAAAGTGTAAATGTGTCATGCAGGGGGGAGTGTCATGATGTAACTGTGTATGTTGTGCCGCATGGTCGTGCTCTGATGGGCCTGGACATGATGAAACTGTTCAAAGTGTGCATCATTGGTGACAGTGTATGCTCTGTGTCCACAGACCCGTCCTGTCATGCCAGCCCAGTCCCTTCGCCCGTCGGGCCAGCCGAACCTGCCAGCCCTCACGCCGGTCAACCTGCCTCACCGTCCGGACCTGCCTCTCCGACTGGACCTGTTTCTCCGTCAGGAGAGCAGCCAGCCATCCTGGGCTACCAACACCGGGTGACCATCGACCCAGGGGTGGCGCCAGTGCGCCAGCCCCTGCGGAGGCTGCCCTTGGCAGTGCTGGACGAGGTGAGTGCCAGGCTCAAGGAGCTGGAGGAGCAAGGGATAATTGAGAAGGTCAGTGCATCTACCTGGGTCTCTCCTCTTGTGGTGGGAAGGAAGCGGGATAGGTCCATCCGCCTGTGTGTAGACATGAGGCGGGTCAACAAAGCTGTGATTACGGATGGCTACCCGCTCCCCAGGATCGAAGATGTCCTTGACCGCCTGAGTGGGTCTCAGGTCTTTTCCAGGCTGGACTTAAAGGATGCATATCACCAGCTGGAGCTCCATCCTGACAGCAGAGACCTAACGACTTTTATAAGTCATCAGGGACTCTACCGGTTCCGGCGCGTCAACTTCGGCCTCGCGAGCGCCGGGCCGTGCTTCCAGAGAGTGATGGCGTCCATGCTGGAGGGGGTGCCAGGCGTGGAGGTATACCTGGACGACATCCTGGTCCACGCGCCGTCCCAGGCCGAGCACGACGCCCGTCTGAGGGAAGTGCTGCGGCGTTTCGATGCCCACAAGGTGCGGGTCAACTGGCCCAAGAGCGTGACGAATCAGAGCGAGCTCTCCTTTCTGGGATATCTGGTCTCGTCAGCTGGTGTCCGCATCGACCGGGAGCGGATCAGGCCGTTATTGGAGGCGGCCGAGCCGCGGGACGAAAAGAGCCTGCGCGCATTCCTCGGTGCCGTAGGGTACCATGCGCGGTTTCTGCCGCGGTTCTCGGACGCAGTAGAGCCGCTGAGGGCCGCGCTCCGGGCGGACCAGTTCGAGTGGACGGCGGCGCTGTCCAGCGCGGTCCGCCGCGTCAAGGACGCGATAAGCGAAGCACCAGCACTGTGCATGTTCAGCACGGAGCTACGAACGGTGCTCTCCACTGACGCCAGTGACGTCGGCTGCGGTGCGTGCGTGACGCAAATGGACGCCTCGGGTCAGCCCAGGGTCATTGCGTACGCCTCGAAGTCTTTCTCGGCGGCCGAACGCAACTACTCGGTAGTGGAGAAGGAGGCGCTGGCATGTGTATGGGCCGTCGAGAAGTTTCGCCACTACCTGTGGGGTCGGCGATTCACCCTCCGAACCGATCACCAAGCTCTCTGCACCATTTTCGGTGTCAAGGGCTCCAACCGCGTCGGCCGGCGAGTCGCGAGGTGGGAGGCCCGGCTGCTGGAGTTTGCGTTCGACGTCGAGTACGTCAGGTCGGAGCGGAACGGAGTGGCGGACGGCCTGTCCCGTCTGCCGGTCGCCGAGACCTGGTGGCCTGATGATGATTCTATCCAGATCGCGGCTCTGTCGTTAGCAGCAGCAGTCACGGAGGAGGAGCTGCGGGACGCCTCGGCGTCAGACGAGTGTCTGGACGTGATCCGGGGGTACCTCGCCGGACGGTGGCCTCGCCAGAGGGATGTCGATCCTCGGGCGACTGGTTTTTACCAGGTGAGAGACGAACTGTCCCAGCTCGGACCGCTGCTTTTCCGCGGCGAGCGACTGGTTGTGCCGGCGGCGCTGCGTGAGCGCGTCCTGAGGAACGCCCACGAGGGTCACCAAGGTGAGACAAGGACCAAGCAGCGCCTGCGCGCGCAGTTCTGGTGGCCGCGGCTGGACAAGGAGGTACGTGACCTCCTGCGGAGCTGTGAGGTGTGCACGCAGCATGACGGCCACGTGCGGCAGGAGCGGCCCCCTCTCCAGCTGCTGTCAAGCAGGAAGTCGAGGGTCACCAAGGTGAGACAAGGACCAAGCAGCGCCTGCGCGCGCAGTTCTGGTGGCCGCGGCTGGACAAGGAGGTACGTGACCTCCTGCGGAGCTGTGAGGTGTGCACGCAGCATGACGGCCACGTGCGGCAGGAGCGGCCCCCTCTCCAGCCGATTCCTCTTCCGGACGGTCCGTGGCAGCGCCTCATGATCGATGTGATTGGGCCCATGCAGGGGCCCCAGCACGAGCGGTACGGCATCGTCTTGTGCGACATGTTCAGCAGGTGGCCAGAGGTGGCGCTGTGTCGGGACGCGACGGCGGCGTCTATAATCAGCTTCCTGGAGGCGGTGTTCAGCCGCGAGGGGTTGCCGTTGGAGCTGGTCTCCGACAACGGTCCAGCGTTCCGGTCTGCCCAACTCCGTAATTTTTTGACCCGACTGGGGGTCAAGCAGACTTTCAGCTCACCATACTCTCCGCAGTCCTGCGGCATGGTGGAGCGTCTGAATCGGACGGTAAAAGACGCCATCCAGTCGGCCCGGCTGGCCCGGGAGCCGCGCTCGGAGTACTTGAGGCGGTTCCTCACTGAGTACCGGGCTACCCCGCACGCAGGTACGGGAGAGACGCCGTTCCGGCTGATGCGGGGGCGGGAGGCACGGACGTTGCTGGACGTCGTGCCAGGTGAGGTTTCCTCGCCGGACACCGGCGGTGAGCTTCGTGCGCGACACGAAAAGTATCAGGCGGCCTACAAAGCCAGATATGACCGGGGGTCGACCGGCGCCCCGCGCTGGCGCGTCGGCGACTGGGTTCGGGTCCGACAGTCGGTGAGTGGACGTGTGGAGGGCCAGAGGGCCGTGCAGATCAGCCGGAGGACTGGCCCGGTAAGTTACCGGCTCACCAGCGGCGAGCGTGTCCACGCTAGACGCTTGGTGCCCGGCCGGCCAGAAGGTGAGGACGCGGCCGCGCCGCGGGGTGGTCCCGGCGGTGGTGCTTATCCAGTTCCTGAGCCCCGCCCCACGCCAGTGCGCACCCGCTCCTCGGCACTCAGAAGTCCTGCTCACAGCCGCTGTCCAACCCCAAAGTGTACCGCCCCGGCGGGTGAGCCAGGGCCCCGCCGTAGCAGGCGGGGTCGCAGAGGCCCAGATCGGTTCACTCCGGGCGAGTAGCGTTTAGGATTGGGCTATCATCGTAAGTTACGTTTGATAGCTGTGAGTGTAATGGTTTCCGCGGATAGTGGGAGGCTTAAGAAGCGGGAGTGTTTCCCATTAACCCGCGCCGTGCTGGGGGGGGGGCGTTTTTACGCCCCCCCCTCAGGTTTTTCGCGAATATCTCAAAAACGGCGGCGCGCAGCGCCGCCGTTTTTGGTACACGTGTTCCTACATCATTTCCGCACATGTTGTGAAAATTTCAGACCTAGGCCGTTCAAGGTCAGGTCACCAGGTCACGTCAAGTGACCTTACCTCAGAAAAAGTTCAAAGGCTCGCTATAGCTACACCGACTGAACGATCACTTTGAAACTTTCAGCGATTGATATGAGTAACAGTATGTATAAAATGTATATCTCGGATTTTTGATATCTGTGACCTAAGGTCAGGTCAATTTTGCGACCTCTCCATTATAAGTCAATGGGAGAAAATTGAAATGCGCCTCTTTTGGACGAATATCGTTCAAAACGCTCTCAAACATCGGTTCATAGGTAAACATGACACACTGAATAGGAAAAATGCACCTGTGACCCCTCTGTGTGCCCCTGAGGTCATCTCAGGTCATGAACGGTCGCCAGCAGTTTTTTGGCTATAACTTTTGATAGAGACGTGCTAGAGCGGTGAAAACACGTCAGATGTGTTCAGCTCGACGATACGGATCGACTGATATGCAACATGACCCTTTTCGGTCAGGTCATGACCTTGACCTGAGGTCAAATTTTCAAAATGACCTTTCAAGGTCAACAAATAGTTCATTCGACGCGTCTCGACGAGAGGAACACGATGCTGGCAAAAGTAATGTCATGGCGCTTATGAGTCAAAAGTTATTGACGAAAAAACGTTTTTCGTAAAAACGGCTATTTTTGGAGTTTTTGCCCTCTAGAGGCTAAACCGTTGACCTGAGGTCAAATCTGAGAACATTACTCAGAAAGGTCTGTAAAAGGGCTATCGAATGCGCTTTTCCGCGGCGCTGTAGCTCTATCGGTTCCCGAGATAGCCGTTGGCAGTTTCCAAAATGTTGAAATAGTCAACATTTTACCTTTGGTGACCTCTGGTGACCTGACCTTTGACCTGACCCAAAAAATGACCGAAGTGTTTTCGTCCTTATTTTTGACGCTCTTTCGATTGCCGCTTACCGCGTGTCGCTACGTGGCCCAGGAGCCGAGTTAGACGGGGGGGCGTGAAAACGCCCCCCCCCAGCACTCGGCGGAAAGTTCAGGCCACCAGCACGGCGCGGGTTAAAGAGAGGGGTGGTGTTGTGGCGAGAACTAATTTAGTGGCGCTGACCGCGCAGCCGATTGGCGCGGACGCGCAATTATCGTTTGAGTTTTACGCCTTTGTTGATAGTGTTGGTCGTTGCGGTGATTATGATTTTATATTACGATCGACACTTAGTTAGTAATATGTTTGGTTCGAAATGGCTTTGTTCAGTTTCGATCCTTTATTTCGCATAACCTGTTCACCCCCTCTCTTTATGATTGCCAACTGTTTTGGGTCGTAAGGACGAAGAGGTGTCGAGTCACCTCTAGAGCTCTTCCGTTCTTGACCTTGGCCGAGATAGTGCCATGTGTTTTTCTGTTGTGTGTGTGGGGGAATAAACCGCAAGTGAGGCGGACGCAGGTTTGTCCAAACCTCCCCCACCCCGAGGGCACAACAGTTACCTACCACTGCCACTGCCCAATGGGGAAAACCACCGACAAACCAGCATGTTTAAATAAATTTTGTCTAAATTGTTGTATTTTTTTTTAGAAAGTATCCATAAATGAAGTTCTAATGATTGAATGGTGTGAAACGTTTTTTTGAGCATGATTATGATTATAATGGAAATCAGATGGATTAATAACCTTTTGCTCATAACTAATGTAAGCCAAAAACAAATCCAATTTGTTTTTGGCTTACAATGGATTATAATAAAACAATGGATTTGTTTTTGGCTTACATTAGTTATGAGCAAAAGGTTATTAATCCATCTGATTTCCATTATAGATGAAGTTCGTTCTTTAATGTTAACATGGGTACGTATGCAGCATGTAACGTCCTTAGCTTATTTTTAGCGACCTGCTCAACTTTTTGAGCGCTCAAGTACGTTTTATAGCATTTCCCTAATGTGTCTGCAACTAAGATGGAGGCTGTTAACTTGCCCTTTAGACTTTCACTGAAACTTATCTTTATCAAAATTGTAGTGCATAAAAAGTATGCTAACTTTGCAATCTCTTGCTTTCATTATTTTGACATCATGTGCGGAAATGCAGTATCAGTGCCAACATGTCAGGTCGCGTGTGTCTCATCTCGTCCATCTTGTCTCATCTGCCTACCTCTTAGTCTCCTCCCTCATTTCTTCCTTCCATCTTTCCTCGCTTCCTTCCTAACTCCCTCCTTCCCCTCCCCTCTCTCTCCCTTTCTTTCTCCCTCTCTCCCTCCCTCCCTCCCTCCCTCCCTTCCTTCCTTCCTTCCTTCCTTCCCTCCTTCCTTCCTTCCTTCCTTCCTTCCTTCCTTCCTTCCTTCCTTCCCTCCCTCCTTCATTATTTCCCTCCTTCTCTTTTTTCTTTCTCCTCTATTTCCTCCCACGCAATGTTAAGTGTACCTATAATTTCATGGTGATTAACATTTTGCAGGGGATGAGCTGGAGAGCCTGCATCGCATCCCGCAAGACACGTCGGAAGCCAACGGAGGCCCGCAAAATATCCATCCCACCATCGTGAAAGGAGAGCCGGACGAAGAAGACGCAGTATTCGTCGAGGCCCAGGAGGTGGTAGCGGCTGCACCAGACCAAGCATTCCTTCTGTGGTAGGCCGCCTTTTGGATTTTTAACGTCAAAACTCGCGACCGTGTAGCATGGAGTGAGATCCCCGGAGAGCGTGCCGTGGCGGGATGTCGAAAGCGTTTGTCAATTTTTGAAGCCTCCCACCGCCCCGGACTATGAATACACATTTCTTGAAATATATTTTTTATCTGTGCTTCGGTACACGAGCTTTGGGTGGTTACGCTATTCGTCCAATATTTATTTTCGAGGGGGGGGGGGCTGGAGTGGAGTGATGGGAAGTTTGGGTGAGTTTGATGGGGAGTAACTATAGAGGTATACCATGAACCTGTAAACGGAGTTTTGGGGAATAATGGAATGGAGTAATTGGGAGTAATTATGAGGCAGTAAGAGAGTCATTGAGAGTAATGGAAGGGAGTTTCAGGGAGTATGTTGTTTGTTTTGATAGGGTAAAGGAGAGAAATGAAGAGTTTTCTAGAACGGTAGGGAGAGTTGCAGAGAGTTTCTCGAGGGAAGTTTTGGGGTGTAATGGAGAGTTTTGGAGGGGGTGTAATGAGGAGTACCACCTGGGAGTTTTAGGGTGTCGTTTTGGTGAACTCCCCCTGGGGGTGTCATGCGGAGTCAGGATTTTTCTCAGTGTATAACCTTTACACTACCCTACCCTACCCTACCCTACCCTACCCTACCGTTACACTACCCTACCCTACCCTACCCTACCATACCCTACCCTTACACTACCCTACCCTACCCTACCCCTACCCTACTCCTACCCTACCCTACTCCTACACTAACCTACCCTCCCCTACCCTACCATACCCTACCCTACCCTTACACTACCCTACTCTACCCTACCCTACCCTACCCTACCCTACCCTACCCTTACACTACCCTACCCTACCCTATACCTTACCCTACCCTACCCTACCCTACCCTACCCTACCCTACCCTACCCTACCCTACCCTACCCTACCTAACTCTACCCTACCTAACTCTACCCTACCCTACCCTACCCTACAATCCCCTACAATCCCCTACCCTACCCTACCCTACCCTACCCAACCCTACCCTACAATCCCCTACCCTACCCTACCCTACCCTACCCTACCCTACCCTACCCTACCCTACCCTACCCTACCCTACCCTACACTACACTACCACCGACAGTCCAAGTTTCAGCTAAATCGGCCCAGAAACGGCTGAGATATTGCAAAATCAAATTAATTTGTATTTGCTGGCGAATCTCCTTGGCGAGCGGTGCCTTGTGTCGGCCTTCATTGGCTCTGATGCTTTTCACTCAGTTTTCTAAGCGAAGAACTGAGCCTAAAGCACGTGCCCTCTGCTCGGCGCCGGTCGCGGCCCCATCACGTGCACACTGCTGAACCCACCCCCTCAAGAATTTAATACGACAAATGAGTGCACGCGACCGACTTACAGCGAAAATTTCACCCCCGTAGCACTTACCGTTTCCGAGCAATAGCCTGTTTTTGCCGATTCTAATGCTAACCCTATGGCGCACATGAGCACGCGCCACGGGCGCACCCCCGGCCACATCGTGCCCAAAATTTAATACGACCTGTTGAATGACGTGACCCTCGAGTCGTGAAAATTTCACCCTCGTGCGTCAATCGACGGCGCCGCAATAAGCCTTTTAGGGAGTAACCCCGACGGCGGCGGCGTGGTACTTTTTAAGATTTATAATAGTAGACTAGAGGTACAGGTTTACGCGATAACTGTATGTTTTGATATGTATGATTAACGGATGCATTAGTTTGGGTATAGAAACTTGCATTTTTATTGGTATGATTTTTGTAGAAGTGGGTAACTGCTTTTAATTGAACTGTAAAGTATGATGGTGATGCATGCGAGTTCTTCGAGCCCTTTGTAAGTTAAGATGTTACTGAACGCAACCCTACCCTACCCTACCCTACCCTACCCTACCCTACCCTACCCCTACACTATCCTACCCTACCCTACCCTACCATACACTACCCTACCCTACCCTACCCTACCCTACCCTACCATACCCTACCCTACCCTACCCCTACACTACACCACCCTATACCCTACCCTACCTTACCACTACCCTACCCTACCCTACCTACCCTACCCTACCCTACCCTACCTACCCTACCCTACCCTACCCTACCCTACCCTACCCTACTCCTTCCCTACCCTACCCTACCCTACCCTACCCCACCCTACCTTACCCTACCCTTACCCTACCCTACCCTACTCCTACCCTACCCAACCCTACCCTACCCTACCCTACCTTTACACTACCCTACCCTACCCTACC